TTGCACACGCTAGGCCCTTGTTCTTGAAATTTTGCACACGCTAGGCCCTTGTTTTTGCAATTTTGCACACGCTAGGCCCTTGTTCTTGCTATTTTGCACATGCTAGGCCGTTGTTCTTCCAGTTTTGCACACTCTAGGCCCTTGTTCTATAAATTTTGCACTAGCTAGGTCCTTGTTCTTGAAGTTTTGCACATGCTAGGCCCTTGTTCTTGCAATTTTGCACACGCTAGGCCTTTGTTCTTGCAATTTTGCACATGCTAGGCCCTTGTTCTTCCAATTTTGCACTCGCTAGGCCCTTGTTCTTGCAATTTTGCACACGTTAGGCCCTTGTTCTTCCAATTTTGCACACGCTAGGCCTTTGTTCTTCCTTTGTTACACTCGCTAGGCCCTTGTTCTTGCAATTTTGCACACGCTAGGCCCTTGTTCTTGCAATTTTGTACACGCTAGGCCCTTGTTCTTGCAATTTTGCACTCGCTAGGCCCTTTGTCTTGCAATTTTGCACTCGCTAGGTCCTTGTTCTTGCAATTTTGCACACGCTAGGCCCTTGTTCTTGCTATTTTGCACACGCTAGGCCCTTGTTCTTGCAATTTTGCACACACTTGGCCCTTGTTCTTGAAATTTTGCACTCGCTAGGCCCTTGTTCTTGAAATGTTGCACACGCTAGGCCCTTGTTCTTGCAATTTTGAACACGCTAGGCCCTTGTTCTTGCAATTTTGCACACGCTAGGCCCTTTTTCTTCCAATTTTGCACTCGCTAGGTCCTTGTTATTGAAATTTTGCACACGCTAGGCCCTTGTTCTTGCAATTTTGCACACGCTAGGCCCTTGTTCTTGCAATTTTGCACTCGCTAGGCCCTTGTTCTTGCAATTTTGCACTCGCTAGGTCCTTGTTCTTGCAATTTTGCACACGCTAGGCCCTTGTTCTTTCTATTTTGCACACGCTAGGCCCTTGTTCTTGCTATTTTGCATACGTTATGCCCTTGTTCTTGAAATTTTGCACACGCTAGGCCCTTGTTCTTGCTATATTGCACATGCTAGACCCTTGTTCTTCTAGTTTTGCACATGCTAGGCCCTTGTTCGATCAATTTTGCACTCGCTAGGTCCTTGTTCTTGAAGTTTTGCACACGCTAGGCCCTTGTTCTTGCAATTTTGCACACGCTAGGCACTTGTTCTTCCAATTTTGCACTCACTAGGCCCTTGTTCTTGAAATTTTGCACACGCTAGGCCCCTGTTCTTGCAATTTTGCACACGCTAGGCCCTTGTTCTTCCAATTTTGCACGCGCTAGGCCCTTGTTCTTGCAATTTTGCACACGCTAGGCAATTGTTCTTGCAGTTTTGCACACGCTAGGCCCTTGTTCTTGAAATTTTGCACTCGCTAGGCCCTTGTTCTTGAAATTTTGCACACGCTAGGCCTTTGTTCTTACTATTTTGCACACACTAGGCCCTTGTTCTTCCTATTTTGCACACGCTAGGCCCTTGTTCTTCCAATTTTGCACTCGCTAGGCCCTTGTTCTTGCAATTTTGCACATGCTAGGCCCTTGTTCTTGCATATATGCAATCACTTGGCCCTTGTTCTTGAAATTTTGCACTCGCTAGGCCCTTGTTCTTGAAATATTGCACACGCTAGGCCCTTGTTCTTGCAATTTTGAACACGCTAGGCCCTTGTTCTTGCAATTTTGTACACGCTAGGCCCTTTTTCTTCCAATTTTGCACTCACTAGGCCCTTTTTCTTGAAATTTTGCACACGCTAGGCCCTTGTTCTTGCAATTTTGCACACGCTAGGCCCTTGTTCTTGCAATTTTGCACTCGCTAGGCCCTTGTTCTTGCAATTTTGCACACGCTAGGCCCTTGTTCTTGCTATTTTGCACACGCTATGCCCTTGTTCTTGCTATTTTGCACACGCTAGGCCCTTGTTCTTGCAATTTTGCACACGCTAGGCCCTTGTTCTTGCAATTCCGCACATGCTAGGCCCTTGTTCTTGCTATTTTGCACATGCTAGGCCATTGTTCTTCGAGTTTTGCACACTCTTGGCCCTTGTTCTATAAAGTTTGCACTAGCTAGGTCCTTCTTCTTGAAGTTTTGCACACGCTAGGCCCTTGTTCTTGCAATTTTGCACACGCTAGGCACTTGTTCTTCCTATTTTGCACTCAGTAGGCCCTTGTTCTTGAAATTTTGCACACGTTAGGCCCTTGTTCTTGAAATTTTGCACACGCTAGGCCCTTGTTCTTGCAATTTTGAACACGCTAGGCTCTTGTTCTTGCAATTTTGCACATGCTAGTCCCTTTTTCTTCCAATGTTGCACTCGCTAGGCCCTTGTTCTTGAAATATTGCACACGCTAGGCCCTTGTTCTTGCAATTTTGCACACGCTAGGCCCTTATTCTTGCAATTTTGCACTCGCTAGGCCCTTGTTCTTGCAATTTTGCACATGCTAGGCTCTTGTTCTTGCAATTTTGCACACACTAGGCCCTTATTCTTCCAATTCTGCACTCGCTAGGCCCTTGTTCTTGAACTTTTGCACATGCTAGGCCCTTGTTCTTGCAATTTTGCACATGCTAGGCCCTTGTTCTTGCAATTTTGCACTCGGTAGGCCCTTGTTCTTACTATTTTGCACACGCTAGGCCCTTGTTCTACCAATTTTGCACACACTAGGCCCTTATTCTTCCAATTTTGCACTCGCTAGGCCCTTGTTCTTGCAATTTTGCACATGCTAGGCCCTTGTTCTTGAAATTTTGCACACACTTGGCCCTTGTTCTTGAACGTTTGCACTCGCTAGGCCCTTGTTCTTGAAATGTTGCGCACGCTAGGCCCTTGTTCTTGCAATTTTGCACATGCTAGGCCCTTGTTCTTGCAATTTTGCACTCGCTAGGCCCTTGTTCTTACTATTTTGCACATGCTAGGCCCTTGTTCTTCCACTTTTGCACACACTAGGCCCTTATTCTTCCAATTTTGCACTCGCTAGGCCCTTGTTCTTGCAATTTTGCACATGCTAGGCCCTTGTTCTTGCAATTTTGCACACACTTGGCCCTTGTTCTTGAAATTTTGCACTCGCTAGGCCCTTGTTCTTGAAATGTTGCACACGCTAGGCCCTTGCTCTTGCAATTTTGAACACGCTAGGCCCTTGTTCTTGCACTTTTGCACATGCTAGGCCCTTTTTCTTCCTATTTTGCACTCGCTAGGCCCTTGTTCTTGAAATTTTGCACACGCTAGGCCCTTGGTCTTGCAATTTTGCACATGCTAGGCCCTTGTTCTTGCAATTTTGCACTCGCTAGGCCCTTATTCTTGCAATTTTGCTTTCGCTAGGCCCTTGTTCTTGCAATTTTGCACACGCTAGACCCTTGTTCTTGCTATTTTGCACACGCTAGGCCCTTGTTCTTGCTATTTTGCACACGCTAGGCCCTTGTTCTTGAAATTTTGCACACGCTAGGCCCTTGTTTTTGCAATTTTGCACACGCTAGGCCCTTGTTCTTGCTATTTTGCACATGCTAGGCCGTTGTTCTTCCAGTTTTGCACACTCTAGGCCCTTGTTCTATAAATTTTGCACTAGCTAGGTCCTTGTTCTTGAAGTTTTGCACATGCTAGGCCCTTGTTCTTGCAATTTTGCACACGCTAGGCACTTTTTCTTCCCATTTTGCAATCACTAGGCCCTTGTCCTTGAAATTTTGCACACGCTAGGCCCTTGTTCTTGCAATTTTGCACACGCTAGGCCCTTGTTCTTCCAATTTTGCACTCGCTAGGCCCTTGTTCTTGCAATTTTGCACACGTTAGGCCCTTGTTCTTCCAATTTTGCACACGCTAGGCCCTTGATCTTCCTTTGTTACACTTGCTAGGCCCTTGTTCTTGCAATTTTGCACACGCTAGGCCCTTGTTCTTGCAATTTTGTACACGCTAGGCCCTTGTTCTTGCAATTTTGCACTCGCTAGGCCCTTGTTCTTGCAATTTTGCACTCGCTAGGTCCTTGTTCTTGCAATTTTGCACACGCTAGGCCCTTGTTCTTGCTATTTTGCACACGCTAGGCCCTTGTTCTTGCTATTTTGCACACGCTATGCCCTTGTTCTTGAAATTTTGCACACGCTAGGCCCTTGTTCTTGCTATTTTGCACATGCTAGGCCCTTGCTCTTCCAGTTTTGCACACGCTAGGCCCTTGTTCTATAAATTTTGCACTCGCTAGGTCCTTGTTCTTGAAGTTTTGCACACGCTAGGCCCTTGTTCTTGCAATTTTGCACACGCTAGGCCCTTGTTCTTCCAATTTTGCACTCGCTAGGCCCTTGTTCTTGCAATTTTGCACACGCTAGGCCCTTGTTCTTGCAGTTTTGCACACGCTAGGCCCTTGTTTTTGAGATTCTGAACTCGCTAGGCCCTTGTTCTTGAAATTTTGCACACGCTAGGCCTTTGTTCTTACTATTTTGCACACGCTAGGCCCTTGTTCTTCCAATTTTGCACACGCTAGGCCCTTGTTCTTCCAATTTTGCACCCGCTAGGCCCTTGTTCTTGCAATTTTGCACATGCTAGGCCCTTGTTCTTGCAATGTTGCACACACTTGGCCCTTGTTCTTGAAATTTTGCACTCGCTAGGCCCTTGTTCTTGAAATGTTGCTCATGCTAGGCCCTTGTTCTTGCAATTTTGAACACGCTAGGCCCTTGTTCTTGAAATTTTGCACACGCTAGGCCCTTGTTCTTGCAATTTTGCACACGCTAGGCCCTTGTTCTTGCAATTTTGCACACGCTAGGCCCTTGTTCTTGCAATTTTGCACACGCTAGGCCCTTGTTCTTGCAATTTTGCACACGCTAGGCCCTTGTTCTTGCAATTTTGCACTCGCTAGGCCCTTGTTCTTGAAATTTTGCACACGCTAGGCCCTTGTTCTTGCAATTTTGCACACGCTAGGCCCTTGCTCTTGCAATTTTGCACACGCTAGGCCCTTGTTCTTGCAATTTTGCACTCGCTAGGCCCTTATTCTTGCAATTTTGCACACGCTAGGCCCTTGTTCTTGCTATTTTGCACATGCTAGGCCCTTGTTCTTGCTATTTTGCACACGCTAGGCCCTTGTTCTTGAAATTTTGCGTCCGCGTCCACGTCCACGTCCACGTCCACCACCTCGTCCGCGTCCACGTCGACGTCCACGTCCACGTCCACCACCGCGTCCACGTCGACGTCCACGTCCACGTCCACGTCCACGTCCATCACCACGTCCACGTCGACGTCGACGTCCACGTCCACGTCCACCACGTCCACGTCCACGTCGTCCACGTCCAAGTCTGCATCCTCTACGTCCACGTCGACCACGTCCACGTCCACGTCCACCACGTCCACCACATCCACATCCACGTCCACCACGTCGACGACCGCGTCCACGTCCACCACGTCCACGTCCACCACGTCCACGTCCACATCCACCACGTCCACGTCCACGTCCACCATGTCGACGACCGCGTCTGCGACCGCGTCCACGTCCACGTCCACGTCCGCGTCCACGTCCACGACCACGTCCACGTCCACCACCGCTTCCACGTCCACGTCCACGTCCACGTCCACCACCGCGTCCACGTCCACGTCGACGACCGCGTCCACGTCCACGACCGCGTCCACCACCGCGTCCACGTCCACGTCCACGTCCACCACCGCGTCCACCACGTCCACGTCCACGTCCGCGTCCACCACTGCGTCCACCACGTCCACGTCCACGTCCGTGTCCACCACTGCGTCCACCACCGTGTCCACGTCCCCGTCCACGTCCACGTCCACGTCCACGTCCACGACCACGTGCACGTCCACGACCACGTCCACGTCCACGTCCACGTCCACCACGTCTACGTCCACGTCCACGACCGCGTCCACCACGTCCACGTCCACGTCCACGTCCACGACCGCGTCCACCACGTCCACGTCCACGACCGCATCCACCACATCCACGTCCACGTCCGAGTCCACGACCGCTCCACGTCCGCGTCCACGTCCGCGTCCAAGACCGCTCCACGTCCGCGTCCACGTCCACGTCCGCGTCCACGACCGCTCCACGTCCATGTCCACGTCCACGACCACGTCCACGTCCACGTCCAAGTCCACGTCCACCATCGCGTCCACGTCCAAGTCCACGTCCACGTCCACGTCCACGTCCACGTCCACCACGTCGACGTCCATGTCCACGTCCACGTCCACGACCACATCCACGTCCACGTCCACGTCCACCACGTCCACGTCCACGTCCACCACGTCCATCACGTCCACGTCTACATCCACCACGTCCACGTCCATGTCCACGTCTACGTCCACCACGTCCACGACCATGTCCACGACCACGTCCGCGTCCACGTCTACGTCCGCGTCCACGACCGCGTCCCCGTCCACGTCCGCGTCCACGTCCACGACCGCGTCCACGACCATGTCCGCGTCCGCGTCCACGACCACGTCCACGTCCACCACGTCCGCGTCCGCGTCCACGTCCACGTCCATATCCACGTCCACGTCCGCGTCCACGTCCACGTCCGCGTCCATATCCACGTCCACGTCCACGTCCACCTCCAGGTCCACGTCCACGCCCACGTCCACGTCCACGTCCAAGTCCACGTCCACGTCCACGTCCACGACCACGTCCACGTCCACCACGTCCACGTCCACCTCCACGTCCACGTCCACCACGTCCACGTCCACCACGTCCACGTCCACCTCCACGTCCACGTCGACGACCACGTCCACGACCACGTCCACGTCCACGTCCACCACGTCCACGTCCACGTCCACGTCCACGTCCACGTCTAGGTCCACGTTCACGTCCACGTCCGCGTCCAGGTCCACGTCCACGTCCACGTCCACGACCACCACGTCCACGTCCACGTCCACGTCCACCACGTCCATGTCCACGTCCACGTCCACGACCACGTCCACGTCCACGTCCACGACCACGACCACGTCCACGACCACGTCCACGTCCGCGACCACGTCCACGTCCACGTCCACGTCCGCGACCACGTCCACGTCCACGTCCACGACCGCGACCACGTCCACGTCCACGTCCACGACCACGTCCACGTCCACCATGTCCACGTCCACGACAACGTCCACGTCCACGTCCACGTCCACCACGTCCACGTCCACATCCACGTCTAGCAGAAACAACATCGGCAGCAGCAGAGACAACATCGGCAGCAGCAGAAACAACATCGGCAGCAGCAGAAACAACATCGGCAGCAGTAGGAACAACAAGAGTAGCAGCAACAACGACACCAGTCCTCGTCGATGAAGCACCGCCAACACCAGCACAACAGCTCCACCCAGCACCACGAGAAGTTCATCGTAGCGCCAACTTCATCGCCAGCTTTTTCTCCAACTCCGACATGTACCGACGATCATCCGGGCATCGCGCCGATGAAAGTACCTGGCACGCAAGAATGGGACACGCAAGCAACACTGTGTTAAACAACACCATAAGAGCAGGAGTCCTTGACAAGGACTCGTTACTACTACTCGACGGAAGAGAACTTCAACGAGCACGAGGAGCATGCCTCACCTGCCCCGAAGCCAACTTACCACATCGGCCGTTCGCTCCTCGTCACAACCCGAGCGCACCCGCGTACGCACCACTCAAAAAAGTGTACAGCGACATCCTGTACAATCGGGAGCCAGGACAAGTAATCTACAACTACACAATCACCTTCATCATCGCCGCCACCCGCTACGTCTGGCACCTAAACCTACCCAGCCGCGACATGGCCCTCGCAGCGTTCGCTGCCTGGCTACCAGTAGCAGAGAGAGAGTCGGGCGTAAAGCTGAAAAGCTTCCAGTCCGAGGGAGGAGGAGAATCTACCTCTCAACGCTTCAAGTAGTACCTGGCGGAAAGAGGCATCAAGCAGCTCCTCTCCCTTCCCTATGCCCATCAACAGCAAGGCGTAGCAGAAAGAATGAACAGGACTCTGCAGAACAGCATGCGCAAACTGTTGCGTGGCATGCGGCTACCCAACCACCAGTGGCCTGCAGCAATGGACCACGCTGTCATGCTGCACAACTTGCTGTCGTCATCATCGCTTCCGAACAACGCATCACCGCATCTGCTGTGGACAGGGAAACAGGGCAGCACAAAAATGTTACGAGTGTTCGGATGCATGGTACAGTACCGACCCCCAGCAGCACGAGCGGGAAGATTTTCACAATGCGCACAGTGGGGACTACACCTCGGCATCGAAAATAATTACAACGCATGGAAAATCTTTGACATCCACTCCAAGGAAACAGTAGCAGCACGCGACGTCATCTTCTACGAACGACTCACACTCCTGACATACCTTGCCAACCTGCAAGAGGACCAAGATCCCACAGGTGGTTTTCGTGGAGACCGAGCCTTCGCCTCCGCAGAAGACGAAGCTGACTGGGACGAGCAGAATGTGGACAACGCGTCAGAAGAAGCCGGACCTCTACCGTTCTGCTCCGTCGAAATTCCCATGGACGAAGACAACCCTCGCGAAAGCGTCAACACCGAAACCTTCTACTACTTCGCCGACAACGGTTACGTAACACCTGCGACAGTCAACACCAACGAAGCAGAACGAGTAGGACCAAATTTCTAACCCGATCCAGAAGCGGGAGATGAAGCAGCTTATCCCGAGGACGCAAATCTTCCCCGCTACTCACAAACTGGACTGCAAATACTCGGCCTCGTCACCGCAGTCCATGGAGACACTCTTCCTAAGGAGTCTGCGACGGTTCAGCAGCCTCTGGGGGGGGAACACAGGGAGAAATGGCGTGAAGCCATGGACAAAGAGTTAAAGGCGCTAGAGGACCGGAACACCTGGAAAGTCATCCCCATCAGCGTGGCGAGGAACAAAACCATCCTCACCGGGAAATGGGTCTTCCGCGTTAAATCAAAAGCAGATGGCACAATTGAGAAGTTCAAAGCACGCTGGGTTGTGTGTGGATTCGATGAAGAGCACGGACGGGACTTCACCGAGACATTCGCCCCGGTTAGCCGACATACCTCACTTCGAATCATCCTCGCGATCGCCGCCATGAAGAAAAAGAAGCTGCGGCAAATCGACGTCGCCAACGCATTCCTCAACGCACCTGTTGATGCCGAAATCTTCGTTGAGTTACCACACAGCTCCCACGGAGAACCCAACCAAGTTTGCAAGCTACTCAAGTCACTCTACGGCATCAAGCAGGCCCCGCGACTGTGGCAACAGCACCTGCACGCTCGCCTCATCCGCATCGGCTTCAAGTAGCTACCGCACGATCAAGGCATGTACCGGCTCACTAAAGACGAAGACTACATTCTGCTAATCGTCTACGTGGATGATCTTCTCTACATCGGCTCGACTGATGGCATAACCACCTGGTTTGAAGGGGAGCTGCAGCGAGATCTCACGCTCACAGTCTCATCTACCGTCACTCAGTACCTCGTCCTCAACATCCGCGAAGAAAAGAACGCAATCTACCTCAGCGCCGAAAAATACGCCGACACTATCGCCAAACGCTTTACGATCGCACCAGCAGCCATCTCCATGCCATACCGCTACACGGCAGGGAACGACAAAGGAGGCTCCGCCCTACTCAAACCCGCCGGCATACGAGACTACTAGAAGAAGCTGGGATGTCTACTCTTCGCAGCCGTCACCTGTCGTCCCGACCTCTCATACTCCGCAAGCCAGCTCGCTACCTATCTCAAAAGGCCTGAAGCAGAGCATCTGGCGGAACTCGACCGCGCTCTTCACTACTTCGTCAGCACCCCGACGGTCGGCCTGACCTACCATAAGAACGCAACTGCACCACCTAAGCTAATCGGTTACGTCGACGCAGAACACGCGGGCGACTCCGACAACAGACGATCGCGCACCGACTATATCTATCGCTTCGAGCCTATCGGGCCTATCTCCTGGCAATCGAGCAAGCAAGAACTAATTGCTCTCTCATCAGCTGAAGCATAATATATTGCACTCTGCTCAGCCACCAAGGAAGGACTCTACCTTCGCGAACTAGAGAAGAAGTGAAGTTAGCCGAGTTACCCAACTTCACCCTCTTGTGCGACAACCAATCTGCAATCGTGTTTGCGAACAGGACGAAACACATCGCCCTGCGATATTTCTTCGTGAAGGACGAGATCGAGAAGGGAAGAAACGTCCTGTCATACTGTCCCACGTCCGAGATGGCAGCTGACTACCTGACCAAGAAACTCGGAAAGCAGAAGTTCAAATACTGCATGTTGCTGACTGGACAGAGCCACGTCAGCGACACTCCAGAAGCGAAGGGGAGTGTTGGAAACAATCGGTCCTAAAGCGCTTCTATCGTGTCGAAACACCAAGGCACAAGCGAAGCAAATCATATCGAGGCACCAGCGAGTCAACCCTCGGAGGTTGAAGTAACCGCTGGAGGTTACGCGAAGGTCAAAGGTCAGCGACCTTTGACTTGACAAATACAGCGCGACAGCAAGGACACACAACTGACTCGATACTGAGCAGTTGCCCGAGTCGTCACTGTACCGAACCGTAACAGCAACAGTAAAAGTAGTTACAACCGTCTCTCTTCGTATTCCTTGTACTCTTATATAATCTTGTATCTCTTTACTTTAATCAACTCACTTTGCCCTCACATACCAGCGCAAGGTGGTTCAGAATCTTCTCTTAAACGCTTCCGCTATTACATCACTTTACCTAGAGTTTCATCCTACCAAAGATCCTAAGGGGCATTCAGCCCAACATGTATATCGGTAGAGGGAACATATGGTGTCACTTCTGGTGGTGGTGGGTGTTGGGAACAATAAATCCTAATGCGCCTCTGTCGTGTCAAAACCCAAGACACTAGCGAAGCACTCCGAACCGAAGCATCAAGTCAAACCTCGGAGGTTAGGGTAACCGCCTAGAGGTTACGGGAAAGTCAAAGGTCAGCGACCTTTGACTCGACAATTACAGCGCGACAGTTAAGGACACACAACTGACTCGTTACAGAGCAGTTGCCCGAGTCGCACTGTATCGAATCGCAACAGCAATACAGTTGTCTATCTATTCGTATTCCCTGTACTCTTATATAAAACCCTGTATTTGCTTGTTTAATTTAATCTACTTTGCTCTCACAAACTAGTGCAAGGTCGGTTCACAAACTTCATTAAACGCTTCCGCTATTACAAGTTTCCTACCCAGAGTTATCCTCTGCAAAGATCCTTAGGACTTTCTCAGCCCAACATGGTATGAGAGCTGACAGGGGAAAACTCTGACTCTTTCAAAGATCATTACAAGACATGGCAACAAACAAGGAAAGGAGCTCCCCTAATGGCTCCTCGGGCACTACTCCTACTCCACCGCCAGCCTCTGGCCTGCAGACAGAGAAAGGCACGGCAGCAAGACCAAGGGGAACGTCAACCGAGACGCCCACGAACCACCCTTCTGACTTCGACCAGAGCATGATGGAGAAATTCTTCTCCTTCATGTCCTTCTACGAGCAACACCAGCAGTCGGGACCTGCACAAACACACAACAGCAACAACGGAGCGGCACCCATGAGCCTTGACGGGTCGTCATATGCGCGAGGGAATCAACAGCAGCAACCCACCTTCGCCCCGTACGAACGCGGGTCGATCAGCTTCCTGGCTCAACCTCCACCTGCGCAAGACAAACCAATGGACGCGTTACAAGTTCAATCGCAATTCGCGCATGTTCTGAAACTACAGACATCAAGACCTTTCGACGGAAAGGACTTCTTCACCTGGTCCTTTGAATTCGAGCTGATGATGGAGGGCGCGCAGATACTCGGCTTCTTCGACGGATCCCTACAGTATCCAGCAAACGGCACACAGTATGAGAAGCAGCAGTATACGTATCAATCGATGATGGCGTATACTATTCTACTGAGGAACATCACACCAACTCAGCAGCAGAACATTCGCTCTTACCGAAACTTCGGCAACTCGGCAGAACTCGCGTACGGCCACCTGAAGAACCTGTACCAGGCAACAGACAGTGTAAACCAGAGCAGGTTAATGGCGCAGTTGACAACAGTTGAAATGAAACCAGGAGAAAAAGGGTTGGCGTATATCAGCCGATGTCGCGAATTGCGCGACAAGCTTCTTCGATGCGGAGGATCAATCTCTGAAGACGCCTTCGTAACAGTCGTCATCGGTGGCCTCGGTCCTCAGTGGCGCGCCACCAAAGCAATTCTTCGAGCACAAGGGAGGATCTCCGAAGCGGCACTTTGCGCCGAAATCCACGCCGAGCAGCAGGATATGGACCTGCAAAAAGAAAGACACAAGAAAAAGGCATTAGCACCGGAGTTCGCTTTCCATACTCAGCGACGACACAACAACTACAACAATCGACAGCAGCAGCCGAAGCCAGTACCTCCGTTTTGTCACATCTGCAAGACATCAGGACACCCACGCACGCATTGCCCGTCTCGTCAGACAACTCCACAGCGACAACTGCGGCCTTCAAGCACCCAAGTTGCTTCGACACAAGCAAGTTCGACAACCACGATTCAAGCTTCAACGACCTCAACTGGACAACCTGCACAAGGAGCAAGAAATATAGTCAACTGCATGGTCAAGATAAACGACTCTTGCATAACAGAGTCACCACCCCATTACTCACCAGAAGAGGAGCTCGACAACAGGACACCTCGCCGCGAATCACTCCACCCGAATCCGACTTACGCCGCCATCGCTCAAAGTGAACCGTCCTGCCAAGACACTTGGTTCTTGGACAGCTGCTGCGGGCAACACATGTGCTCGTCCGGGCGCTTCGTACAACGCGAACATCGACTCCAACGAGACGTGATCATCACGGTCGCCAACAATCAAAACCTGCGCACACGACGACAAGGAGTGGTACAGCTTCAGTCAAGAGAAACAAATGTCATACTGCACATGTCAAAGGTACTCATCGCTGAAGGACTCGGCTACAACTTACTGAGTGTTAGCCAGTTGATGGCGAAAGGGATTCACCTGGAAGCTGACAGCACCACCCAGGAGTTCAAGCTATATCACGGGAGAGGCGGTCTCTACATCGGGAAGGCAATACTGAAGAACAACGTCTTCGTCCTCGACTTCGTTCCCGACCTTGGAACTGCAGACAGCGACGCCATCGTGAACTTTACTGACTGGACACACCCTCCGGATCTCGACCCCGACTTCAGCCCAGGAGGATTCTGGTACTCCCACACTATCCCTGAAGCAGAACGAACAAGAGCATTAGCAACGATTCAACAAACACCAGAAGCAGAGGCAACAACACCGGCAGCAACAACAACACCGGCAGCAACAACATCGGCAGCAGCAACAACATCAGCAGCAGCAGGAACAACGACACCAGTCACAGTCGACGAAGCACCACCAACACCAAAACAACAGCTGAATCCGACTCAACGTGAAGTCCACCGAAGCGCCAACTTCGTCGCCAGCTTTTACTCCAACTCCGACGCATATCAACGTTCACCCGGACACCGCGCCTCTGAAGAGATCTGGCACGCACGCACAGGACATCCAAGCAACACGGTTTTAAACAACACGATAAGAGCAGGAGTTCTTGACAAAGACTCCCTACTTCTACCCGACGGCAGAGAACTCCAGAGGGCACGAGGGACTTGCCTTATATGTCCCGAAGCTGACTTACCTCATCGACCGTTCGCTCCACATCACAACCCGAGCGCTCCAGCGTACGCACCACTCGAAAAGGTCTACAGCGACATCCTCTACAATCGCGAACCAGGACAAGTCAACTACAACTACACCATCACCTTCATCGACGCCGCCACTCGATACGTCTGGCATCGCAACCTACCCAGCCGCGACATGGCACTCGCAGCATTCGCCGCCTGGCTACCGATAGCAGAGAGAGAGTCTGGAACACAACTGAAAAGTTTCCAGTCAGACGGAGGTGGCGAGTACACCTCTCAGCGCTTCAAGCAGTTCCTGGCGGAAAGGGGGATCAAGCAACTCCTCTCCCTTCCCTACGCACATCAGCAGCAAGGTGTTGCAGAACGAATGAACAGGACCCTGCAGAACAGCATGCGCAAACTGTTACGTGGCATGCGGCTACCCAACCACCAATGGCCAGCAGCAATGGACCACGCTGTCATGCTGCACAACCTGTTGTCGTCGTCGTCACTCCCGTACAACGCATCACCGCATCTGCTGTGGACAGGGAAGCAGGGCAGCACAAAAATGTTACGAGTCTTCGGGTGCATGGTACAGTACCGACCCCCAGAAGCACGAGCGGGAAGATTTTCGCAACGGGCACAGTGGGGACTACACCTCGACATCGAGAAAAATTACAACGTGTGGAGAATCTTCGACGTCCACACAAAGGAAACAGTAGCAGCACGTGATGTGATCTTCTACGAAAGACTCACCCTTCAGACGTACCTCGCCAACTTGCACGAGAATCGGGACCTCACCAGTGGCTTTCGTGGTGACCGAGCCTTCGCGTCAGCAGCGGACGAAGCAGACTGGGATGAGCAGAACGCCGACAACGCCTCGGAGGAAGCCGGACCTCTCCCATACTGCTCCGTCGACGTGCCCATGGATGAGGATAATCCTCGCGACAGTAACAACGCCGAAGTCTTCTACCATTTCGCCGACAATGGTTACGTAACACCTGCGACAATCAACACCAACGAAGCAGAAAGGGTAGGGCCAAATTTCATGCCCGACCCAGAAGCGGGAGACGAAGCAGCTTATCCCGAGGATCCAGAACTCCCTCGATACTCACAGACTGGACTGCAAATCCTTGGTCTCGTCACCGCAGTCCATGGCGCCGGCATTCCTAAGGAGCGTGCTGTTGGGATTAGAGAGAGGAATGAGTGCAGTATGAAATGAAGCAAGTACAAGTACCAACCCTAATTGGGTTGTACCCCCTATGGGCTACCCCACTACAGCCTAAATATATGCATCAGCTATATAATAATCTGACACACCCCCATAGGCAAAGTGGGGGAGAGCAAGGGGTCACAAGACTAGTCAAGCAAAGCAAAGCAAAGCAAAGCAAGCTCAGGGTGGATCTCAAGGATACCACACAAATTCCGAGCACAAGGTCAAGGCCACAAGGCCAGTTCACATGCAGCAGAGCATATATATATAACAGTGCTAAACAAGCAAGAGCAAGGATATATATATGCAGCAGTACAAGCAAGGTCAAGAGGTAAGCAAGTGAGGCCCAGTGGGCACAAGGCCTAGCAAAGTGCAAAAGCGCTGATGGTCACGAGGCGGAAGCGCCTTGGTGAACACATCAGCAGTGTTGGCCTCAGTGGCCACGAAACGCAGGCGAAGCTGACCACGCTGCTGCAGCTCTCGAGCAAGGAAGTAGCGCAGAGCAATGTGCTTCGTCCTGTGCTCCAGTCTGTGCTCCTGACACAAGGCAATGGTTGCCTTGTTGTCGACGTACAGCACTGGAGGAGAACGAGGCCGCTCTCCAAGGTCGGTCAGCAGGTAGGTGAGCCAGCGAAGCTCCTGGGCAGCCATGGCCGTGGCGTAGATCTCAGCCTCACAGCTGGAGCTGAGAACCGAAGAAGAGCGAGTAGAGCGCCAAGAGACAGAGCCAGAGCCAAGACTGAAGGTGTAACCCTGAGACGACCGCTGAGTAGCCTGGTCGTCAGCCCAAGAAGCGTCTGAGTGCCCAGTGAGCACAGGCCGCTCTCGCCCTCCAAGCACTAGCCCAATGCCCGACGTACTGCACAAGTAGCGCAACACCCTCTTAGCTGCATCCATGTGCTCCTTCCGGTGACGTCCGGGAGCAACATAGCGTGCTAAGATGCTGAGAGGGTATGCGAGGTCAGGTCGAGTGCAGGTCATCAGGTACATGAGGCAGCCCACAAGCTCTGGATACGGACCACTCGACTCTACGGACTCATCCGAAGGCAGAGCTGAGAGCGAGTGTCCCGTAGGCAGAGGAGTGGACTGAGGCGAGGAGTACGTGAAGCCGAAGCGCTGAAGGACCTGCTGCACCATGTGTGACTGAGTCAGGGTAATGGTGCGGCGTGCTCTGTCCCGGGTGATCCGCAAGCCAAGATAGCTTGTCAGTTCACAAAGGTCTGTGCACGTGTGTCTCTTCTGCAGCTCGGACTTCACGTGGGCGAGTGCGGCAGTGTCCGCAGTGGCAAAGACCAAGTCGTCGACGTACACGAGGATGTAGAACGGCGGTAGCGAGGTGTCGGTGCGTAGAAACAGCCACGGGTCAGCAGTAGAAGGAGCAAACCCAAGAGCCGCAAGTGTAGTCCTCAGTGTGTCGTGCCACTCACGCGGCGCCTGGCGGAGACCGTAGACTGGCCGCCGGAGGCTCCACTGGGTACCAGGAGGGAACGACCCAGTGAAGCCAGGAGGGCGGCGCAGCCAGATCTCCTCGTGCAGGCGGCCCTGCAGGAAAGCAGTGCTGAAGTCAAGAGAGTGTAGCTCGTAGTCACGCTGAGCAGCGACGTGCAGTAGAACCCGAAGAGTGGTCATCTTCGGGGTCGGGGAGAAGGTCTGAAAGAAGTCAACTCCCTGTCGCTGACTGAAGCCACGAGCCACGTAGCGCGCCTTGAAGACAGGCGGAGAACCCGGCGGCCGCTTCACCCTGAAAATCCACATGCCACTGACAATGTTCGCCCCAGGAGGGGGAACAGCGTCAACGTAGGTGCCTGTGGACTTCCAGGAAGCCATCTCTGCGTCCATGGCTGACTGCCACTGAGAGGAGTACGGACCGGCCATCGCCTCTGCGTAAGAGCGTGGGGTCGGGATGTCTAGAGCATCCGGGTCTCCCTCAGGGGCAACAAGCATGGACACGAGATGGGGCAAAGCAGCGGCAAAGCACTGGAACTCCTCCTGCCTGTCCTCAAGGACGTCCGTGCCAAGAGCACAGTCACCCCCGACGGACGGAGGACAGGCAGACGCAGACGCAGCAGACGCAGACTCAGCAGACTCAGCAGACTCAGCAACAAGACTGGCAGCGTAGTCTAGACGACACGCAGCAGCAAAGTCGACCAGCTCAGCAACTAGGGCAGACGCAGCAGCGGACTCAAAGGAAGGGTCAGTGACAAGAGAAGCAAGAAGACGCGTGACAGTAGGACTGGCAGCACGGCGAGAGTCCGACTCCGGGTCGGCAAGTGTAGGAAGAGAAGACTGAGGAGGAGAAGGCAAAGGGGCACGCAGAGGAGCAGTGGACGGACGCAGAGACATCCTGTGTGTGCCAGGGATAGGAGGAGGACGCTGACGCGAACCGCGACCACTAGGGCGAGCAGCTCGGACTGGCGACGCAGGGCGGGACGCAGGCTCACGACGCTCAGCAAGACCTCCAGTAGGACCAGCGTAGGGAGAAGGAGAAGGCAGGGGAGAGGCGGGCTGTAACTGGGACTGTGACGGGACAGGCTGTGGACACTCTACGGGAGGAGAAGGACCAGTGGAAGGCGGGAGACCAAGAACCTGCTGAAGGAGCGGAACGAAGTACGGCCGAGGCCGCGCAGCACCGCCAGAGACAGCAGGGACAGCACCAACACCTCCAGAGGCAGCACCAGCACCAGTAGCAGCTCCAACTCCAGCACCTCCGGCAGCGCCAGAAGTACCCTCAGCAGGACCGACAGTCGTAGTCTCAGCGCCAGCACCCGCAGCAGCTCCAGCTCCAGAGGCACCCCCGGGCCCGGCAGCTCCAGTACTCTCAGTACGAGCACCTCCGGGACCCGTGGTACCAGCCCCCTCTGCAGCAACAGAACCTCCAGCACCCGCAGCACCCTCAGCTCCAGCAGCTCGCCTCCAGCGCCGGGCAAACCACTCACGCAGGTCCAGAGGAGAGAGCGGCTCGCGGCGCGAAGAACGGTCTGGAGAACCACCACGAACAGAAGCAGCAGGCACAGCACTCCCAGACGCAGTACCCCCAGGCTCAGCACTCCCAGGCACAGCACCCCCAGGCTCAGCACCCCCAGGCTCAGTACCCCCAGGCACAGCAACCCCAGGCTCAGCACCCCCAGGCTCAGCACCCCCGATCGCAGCACCCCCAGGCTCAGCACCCTCAGTCGCAGCGCCCCCAGGCTCAGCACCCCCAGGCTCAGCACCCCCAGTCTCAGCACTCCCAGTCTCAGCACCCCGAGGCTCCGCACCCGCAGCAGCACCAGAGTCACCAGTGACCTCAACAGGCTCGACCGCGTCTACCTGAGACACACCTGAAGGGGCAGGACCCTGAGGGGGGAGGGGGTCTACCGGGGGGGGAGCTGGGACCAGGAAGAGGGGCGGCGGGGGGAGGGACGGAGTGCGGTAGGGGAAGAGCCAGCAGAAGGGAACCGACTCGTCGAACGTAACGTCCTGGGAGGACAGAACACGACGAGAGGTGGGGTGGTAAAACTGCCACCCAGGTGCGTCAGGGGGGAATCCCAGGAAGACGCAAGGAGCAGCACGAGGGGACAGCTTGTCCGCAGACAAGTCGCGGACAAACGCCCGAGATCCCCAGACACGGAACGCCGACGCATCGCCAACCTTCCCCGTCCACAGCAACGCTGGGGAGGTCTCCGGTTTGGAGACCCTGGGCTGAAGGTTGATCTGATGCGCGGCGTACCGAACCGCAAACGGCCACAGAAAATGGGGGGCAGCCGCATGCACCATGGACGTACGGGCGACGTCCATGACAATGCCGATGCGGCGCTCAGCAATCCCATTCTACTGTGGAGAGTCCGGAAGCGTGAAGGTCTGGCGGATGCCTCGTGCACGACAGTAGGCTCGCAGAAGGCCGGAGGAGAACTCTCCGCCTCTGTCCGAGTGTAGACGCAAAACAGGAAAGTCCGAGCCAAAGCTCCGCCTGAGCTGGAGACGAGCTGCGCGGATCCAGTCGATCAACACCTCAGTGACCTCACCCTTGCTGCGCAAGGGGAAGACCGTGGTGTAACGCGAGTAGTCGTCAACCACCAGCAGGAAGTAGCGCTCGTGACCCTGTCCACGGACGCGGGCTGGGACCCACACGTCCATGTGAAGCGTCTGCATCGGGGCCTCCATCGGAGGAAACGGGGAGGAGTGAGGGGAAGCCCGAAGGCGACCTTCGACACAGGGGACATCGGGAGGGCCAGGCCCCGGAGGAAGGGGAGGGAGGGACCGGGGAAGACCAGAGACAAGAAGGCGAGAGGCCATGCCCCGGAGACGAGGCAGGGAGGGGTGACCCATCCTGTGGTGCCACAGGAAGGTCTCGTGGGACAGGAGGCGACACGAGCAGGGAGCAGACTCAGGACCAAACCTGGACGCTGCAGCAAACACCTGACCCGACGCAGCTACCTGACCAGACGCAGGAGGAGGAGACGGAACAGTGAGTGTGTACAGGCTCGACCCGGGCCCACGTGTGAACGTGGTCAAGTGTCGACCCGTGTCCGCGTCCGTGCAGTGGGTGTCCCGTCGGCGTGCAGGGGTGAACTGGTCAACCCCTGCATCCTGTAGGTCAGCACCCGCCACCAAGTTCGTAGAGAACGAGGGGAGGTAGAGACCGGACAGGGAGCCAGACGGGACCGCAGGGCACGGAAGGACAGTGGAGTAGCGAGCCAGAACAGGACCCCCAGAGGGGTCCGCCAGGGAGAGTGCCACAGGCCGACTAAGCGGCGTGAGTGTGGTGCGGTCTCTAAAGAAAGAGCGAGATGCTCCTGAGTCAAGAGTGAAGGTAAGAGAGGGCGGAGCCGACGCTGTACCTGAGAGAGCAGACTCACCAGCACCTTGGGACACAGACTCACTGGCACCTAGAGCAGCAGCCGCAACAGCACCTAGAGCCGCAGTCTCAACAGCACCTGGAGCAGCAGTCTCACCAGCACCTGGAGCCGCAGTACCAATGCCCGGGTCGGGCGGGAAACACCGGTAACAGTCACCCTCCTCACTAATAGTCACAGCATACATGGCACGAAGAATAGCATCAAAGTCAAGATCAAAGATAGCTACTCCTGCCCTAGAAAGCTGGTCCCAGCGAGGGATCTCAGAGGCATCAGGAAACTGGTGGCGCCAGGCGTCAGTCAGGTGGCCGAAGCAGCGCTGGGCAGAGTGTGGACCACCACACGGCTCACCCGCACGGTCGCCAGTGCGCAGGACGTAGGTGCACGGACCAGGACCCCCACCCCTCTGACGTGCAGCGTACCACTCACGGAGCTGCTGCGGGGAGAGGGTCTCCTGACCACGCTGCTGCTGCTGGCGCTGACCACCACCGGAGCCACTCCTCTGCGACGAGCCACGACCGCCGCCGCCTCCTCCGCCGCCTCCTCCGCCGCCACCGCCACCACCTCCGCTGCCACCGCCACCCCAACCGTCGCCGCCGCCACTACCGCCTCCGCCTCCACTCCCACCACCACCTCCGCTGCCGCCCCCGCCTCCACTGCCGCCGCTGACACCTCCACTCCCGCCACCACTCCCGCTACCACCCTCACCTCCTCCGCTGCCTCCACCGCCGCCTCCACCGCCCCCGCCGCCTCCCCCACCACCCCTGCCCCCCTTGCCCTTGCCAGAGCGACGTCTCCCGCTAGGGGCAGACGCCGCACCGACCGACTCAAAACCAACGAGGTCGGCCGTGGCAGCAGAGGCGACAGAGGGCAGGAGGGGGGAGGGGGAACACCCCTCAAAGATGGGGGTGCGCGGGTCACCACGAGAGGCCCCTACAGCGAGAATGCTCTTCTCAGCTGCGAGGAGGGACTTCTCGAGGAGCTCAACAGTGAGAGTGGTGGGGCAGACTGAGAGTAAGTCGTCCCTGACTCCGCGAAGGGAGTCAGGGAGGCGGGTGACAATGTAGTAGAGAGTGAAGTACTGGGGGGGGGGGTTCTTGGCGCAGAACTCAGCAGGAAGTGCAGCGCGGAAGCGAGCGTCACTAGTGCGCAGGTGGGTAATGAGGTCGGCGACTGTGGCAAAAGCAGCAAGGTCGGGAAAGAGGTACGGTAGCATGAGGCGGCTCAGTGCAGCAGTGGCAGGGGTGGAGTAGCGTGCAATAACGGCGTCGTACAAGGTCTTAGCACTCTTGTACGACCCAAAGTGTGCACGCTCAGAGGGAGGGAGGTGACGACGCACAGCAAGACGTGCAGCAGCATCGCGTGTGGCCCACTGTGAGCGAACAGTGGCATCCTCAGTAGCAGCAGGGGCGGGAGAGGCACCAGAAGTGAGATCAAAGAGAGAGAGGCCGTCAGCTCTGTCGCACTGTAGGAAAAGCAGTAGGTCGTCTACCCACACGTCAAAGTCGATGGCTCTGCCCTCAGCGTCAAAGGTGAGGACACTGGGGGTAGCCATGACAGCAGTAGGGTGAGGGCAGTGCACAGAGGAACGCTCAGTGCTCACCAGACAGGGCAGTGCAGGCGGCTCGGGCGGCTCGGGCGGCTCGGCTGCTGGGCGGCTCGGGCGGCTCGGGCGGCTCGGGCGGCACGGCTGCTGGGGCGGCTCGGCTCCTGGGGCGGCTCGACTGCTACTGCGGCTCGGCTGCTGGGGCGGCTCGGCCGCTGGGACGGCTCGGCTGCTGGGGCGGCGGGGCCGGGAGATGAGGCGGCGGGGCCGGCAGGTGCAGTAGCGGGGCCGGCAGGTGCAGTAGCGGGGCCGGCAGGTGCAGTAGCGGGGCCGGCAGGTGTAGCGGCGGGGCCGGTAGGTGAAGTGGCGGGGCCGTCAGAGGGGACGGCGGGGCCATTGGGTGCAGCGGCGGGGCCGTCTGAAGCAGCGGCGGGGCCGGCAGGTGGGACGGCGGGGCCGTCAAGGGAGGACGGCGGGGCCGTCAGGTGCAGCGGCGGGGCTGTCTGAAGCAGCGGCGGGGCCGGCAGAGGGGACGGGGGGGCCGTCGGGTGCAGCGGCGGGGCCGGCAGAAAGGGACGGCGGGGCCGTCAGAAGGGGACGGCGGGGCCGTCAGGTGCAGCTGCGGGGCCGGCAGTGGCGACGTCGGGGCCTGCAGAGGCAGGCGAGGAGGCCGCGTGGGCGGCGCTAAGGGGCCGCGAAGGCGGCGCGACGCAGCAGAGCCGCGAGGGCGGCGCGACGCGGCCGTAAGGCCAGCGCGACGTGGCCCGGGCCGCGCGCGCGAAAAAAAAAAAGGTCGCGCGCGCGACTCGCGGGGGCCACAAGGGCAGCGCGAGAAGGACTAGGGGAGGAGCGCGCTTCGGGGAGGGAAGGGCGCGCTCCGGGCAGCGAAAATTTCGTGGGTGGGCCCTTAAAAATTGGTCCTTAGGAAGGACCCGCTCTATACCATGTTGAGATTAGAGAGAGGAATGAGTGCAGTATGAAATGAAGCAAGTACAAGTACCAACCCTAATTGGGTTGTACCCCCTATGGGCTACCCCACTACAGCCTAAATATATGCATCAGCTATATAATAATCTGACACCTGCGACGGTTCAACAGGCTCTGGGGGGGGAACACAGGGAGAAATGGCGTGAAGCCATGGACAAAGAGCTGAAGGCACTGGAGGAGCGCAACACCTGGAAAATCGTTCCCATCGGCGTAGCACAAAACAAAACTATTCTTACCGGGAAGTGGGTCTTCCGTGTGAAGACGAAAGCTGACGGCACCATCGACAAATTCAAAGCTCGCTGGGTCGTACGCGGCTTCGACCAGGAGCACGGAAGAGATTACACCGAAACCTTCGCTCCGGTCAGCCGTCACACCTCACTCCGAATCCTCATCGCCGTCGCCGCCATGAAGAAAAAGAAATTGCGACAAATCGACGTTGCAAATGCATTCCTCTACGCACCTGTGGATGCAGAAATCTTCGTCGAGCTTCCGCACGGCTCCCACGGCGAACCCAACCGAGTTTGCCAACTGCTTACGTCGCTCTACGGGATCAAGCAGGCACCGCGACTGTGGCAGCAGTATCTACACGCCCGCCTTATCCGCATCGGTTTCAAACAACTCTCGCATGACCAGGGCATGTATCGCCTCACAAAGGGAAGCGACTACGTTCTCCTAATCGTCTACGTGGACGATCTCCTCTACATTGGGTCAACCGACGGCATCGCCACGTGGTTCGAAGGGGAGCTTCAGAAAGACCTCACGCTCACGGTCTCTTCTACCGTTACGCAGTACCTCGGGCTCAACATCCGCGAGGAAAAAAACGCAATCTACCTAAGCGCCGAGAAGTACGCCGACACCATCGCGAAACGTTTCGGTCTCACACCAAGCGCCATCTCCACGCCTTACCGCTACACGTCAGGAACCGAAAAGGGACAATCTACTCTACTCAAGCCCGCCGGCATACGCGACTATCAGAAGAAGCTCGGATGTCTTCTCTTCGCAGCAGTCACATGCCGTCCTGACTTATCCTACTCCGCGAGTCAGCTCGCCACCTATCTCAAGAAGCCTGAAGAAGAGCATCTGGCGGAACTCGATCGTGCTCTCCACTACTTCGTCAGCACCGCGACGATCGGACTAACTTATCACAAAAACGCGACTACACCGACCAAGCTAATCGGCTACGTCGACGCCGATCACGCCGGCGACACCGATAACAGGCGCTCACGCACCGGCTATGTCTACCGCCTCGAGCCTATCGGTCCTATCTCCTGGCAGTCGAGTAAGCAGGAGTTAATCGCACTATCTTCAGCTGAAGCGGAATATATTGCACTCTGCTCAGCCACCAAGGAGGGACTTTACCTTCGCGAACTGCTGGAAGAAGCGAAGCTAGCCGAGTTACCCAGCTTCACCGTGTTCCGCGACAACCAGTCAGCAATTCGCATCGCCAACAAGAACGGCTTCGCAAACAGGACGAAACACATCGCCCTGCGCTATTTCTTCGTGAAGGACGAGATCGAAAAGGGGAAACTCGATCTGTCATACTGTCCCACGTCTGAGATGGCAGCCGATTACTTGACCAAGAAGCTCGGAAAGCAGAAGTTCGAATACTGCATGCTGCTGACTGGACAAGGCCACGTCACCAGCAGCGACACTCCAGAAGCGAAGGGGAGTGTTGGGAACAATAAATCCTAATGCGCCTCTGTCGTGTCAAAACCCAAGACACTAGCGAAGCACTCCGAACCGAAGCATCGAGTCAAACCTCGGAGGTTAGGGTAACCGCCTGTCAGAATGAGGAATGAATGTTCCATTGATGTTGGTTGGGGTACATATGACAAACCCTAACTTCTGTACCCCCTAAGACAAACCTCACTACAGGCTACAACATTTGACACACCCCCATAGCCTAAGTGAGGGGTGTCTAGCAAAAACAAAAAAAAAAAAGAGTACGGTCACAAGACCAGTCCAAAAGAAAACAAAGCTCAGGGTGGATCACAACGTCACCACACACTCTGAGCACAAGCAACAGTGGCCACAAGGCCAGTCCAAGAGATCACAAGTATATATAGTAAATGTACAGACGAAGCAGGCAATAAACTCAAGTCTACGCATGACTAGAACCTGTGTCAACAAGGCCTAACTGCACACAACACCTCTGGTGGTCACAAGGCGGAAGCGCCTTGGTGAAGATGTCTGCAGTGTTGGCCTCGGACTCTACAAACTCGAAGCGAGCCTGTCCACGCCTCTGCAACTCTCGCAGAAGAAAGTACCTGACGTGAATGTGCTTCACTCTGCTCTCCAGTCGCGGCTCACGACAGAGGAGGATCGACGCCTTGTTGTCAGTAAACAAGGTCGGTGCAGAGCTCGGCCACTCACCAAGGTCGGCGAGCAAGAAGGTCAACCACCGCAACTCCTGTGCCGCCATGGCACCAGCGTAAATCTCAGCCTCAGCTGTAGAGGTCGAGACAGAAGAGGAGCGCGTGGAACGCCAGGAAACAGCTCCAGAACCCAGACTGAAACAGTACCCCTGAGTAGACCTGTGAGTCTCAGCGTCGTCAGCGTAAGAGGAGTCACAGTGACCAGTGAGTACGACAGACTGCTGCCCTCCAAGAACTAGCCCCACGCCTGATGTAGTCGCTAGGTACTTCGCCACCCTCACAGCTGCCGTCCAGTGAACAGGACGGTGTCTCCCTGGCGCAACAAAGCGCGCAAGGATGCTGAGAGGGAAGGCGAGGTCCGGGCGAGTACAAGTCATCAGGTACATGAGGCAACCCACAAGCTCTGCGTAGGGACCACTAGGCTCAAACGGCTCGTCAGGAAAGGGACCAGTGAGTCTGTGGTCAACAGCTAGAGGTGTGCGCTGTACGGTGGAGTGCTGAAGCCCGAACCGCTGAAGGACCTGCTGCACCATGTGTGACTGTGAGAGTGTAATGGTGCGAGCGGCTCTGTCCCTGGTGATCTGCAGGCCAAGGTAGTGGCGCAGCTCACCAAGATCAGTGCACGTGTGTCTCTTCTGCAGTTCGGACTTCACGTCTGCCAAAGCAACCCTGTCCGGAGTGGCGAAAACGAGGTCGTCGACGTAAACCAGAACAAAGAACGGTGTGGAGCCACGACGAACGAACAGCGACGGGTCGGCAGAAGACGGCTGGAACCCAAGGTCAGAGAGGGTAGAACGCAGAGTGTCGTGCCACTCACGTGGGGCCTGGCGAAGACCGTAAACAGGTCGCCTCAGCCTCCACTGGGTCCCAGGAGGGAAGGTGCCAGTGAAGGCCGAGGGACGACGCAACCAGACCTCCTCGTGTAGGCTGCCCTGAAGGAAAGCAGTGGAGAAGTCGAGAGAGTGTAACTCGTAGTCTCTCTGTGCTGCTACGTGTAGTAACACCCGAAGAGTGGTCATCTTCGGGGTAGGTGCGAAGGTCTGAAAGAAGTCAACTCCCTCGCGCTGACTGAAACCTCTAGCCACGTAGCGCGCCTTGAAGACCGGGGGAGATCCCGGTGGCCGCTTCACCCTGTAGATCCACATGCCGTCGACTACGTTCGCCCCAGGGGGGGGAACCTCATCAACGTAGGTGCCTGTGGATCTGTAGGAGGCCATCTCTGCGTCCATGGCAGCTCTCCACTGAGAGGCCCAAGGCCCTGACACTGCCTCAGCGTAAGTGCGAGGAGTCGGAATGTCAAGGGCGTCGGGGTCACCCTCAGGGGCGAGGAGCATGGCACAGAGATGAGGGGAAGCGGCCGCCAGGAACTCTAGCTCAAACTGCCTGTCCTCTAGGGCGTCACAGCCAAGGGCAGACACACCCCCGACGGTCAGAGGACTGGTAGGAGGAGCAGCCACAAGCGTGGTGGCGTAGTCAAGGCGGCGGGTAGAGGCAAAGTCAGTAACTGCGGCAGTAAGAGCGGACACAGAGGACACAGAGGCACGAGGGTGAGTAACAAGAGAGGCGAGAACACGAGAGAGAACAGGACGGTACGTGCGGTAGTAGTCAGTGACAGGAGTAGGGAGCGACACAGTGAGGGCCGACTCA